TGAGTAATCCGGCGAATTCGAGCTGCCGCAATCCGGGTGCTACGAGGGCGTGTGACCGGGCCATTTCGGGCCAGACAGAGAGGGGTTGATGAGGGGAAAGTGCAGAGGGGAAACCCTATATAAGGTGCATCCCAGGGACAGGCAAGGGTGTGACTGGAAAAGTTTATCGTGGCATCATCATTCTTGTCTGAGAACCATCATCCATCCCATCAGACATCTGCCATAGATATCACATCTCCGCATATCCACATCTAATATCCAACCATGGCCGAGGCTAAGTGTCCTTTTAGCCAAAGCAGGTCTAACGCCAACGTTGCTGGTGGAGGCACCCGCAACACTGACTGGTGGCCTGATCAGTTGAACCTGGGCATTCTTCGCCAGCATGCCCCGGCATCCAACCCTTACGAGCGGGACTTCGACTACACCGCCGCTTTCAATAGCCTCGACTACTATGCCGTCAAGAAAGACCTTCATGCCTTGATGACCGATTCGCAAGACTGGTGGCCTGCTGATTTCGGTCACTACGGCGGCTTGTTCATCCGCATGGCATGGCACAGTGCCGGTACCTACCGGGTCTTCGATGGCCGCGGTGGTGGAGGTCAGGGTCAACAACGGTTCGCTCCTCTCAACAGCTGGCCTGACAATGCTAGCTTGGACAAGGCTCGTCGCTTGCTGTGGCCTATCAAGCAGAAGTACGGAGCAAAGATTTCCTGGGCGGACCTGATGCTGCTGGCCGGTAATGTGGCCCTGGAGTCGATGGGCTTCAAAACATATGGATTTTCCGGTGGTCGTGCAGACACATGGGAGGCGGACGAGTCGGTCTACTGGGGAGGTGAGTCAACCTGGATGGGTAACGACGTACGTTACTCCGATGGCTTCCCGGGAGTCACCAAGCATGGTGCGCTCTCTGGGGACGAACCACCCCATCGCAACATTCACACCCGCGACCTGGAGAAGCCGCTGGCTGCATCGCACATGGGTTTGATCTACGTTAATCCCGAGGGTCCCGATGGCAACCCAGACCCGGTTGCCGCCGCACGCGACATCCGCACCACCTTCGGTCGCATGGGAATGAACGACGAAGAGACGGTCGCCCTGATCGCTGGTGGCCACAGTTTTGGCAAGACACACGGTGCCGCTCCATCTGATAATGTCGATGTTGAACCCGCTGCTGCTGGTCTCGAAAACCAAGGGTTGGGCTGGTCCAACCGCTACCAGTCCGGCAAAGGGCCACACGCCATCACCAGCGGTATCGAAGTGACCTGGACCAAGACTCCCACCAAGTGGAGCCATGCGTTCCTCGAATACTTGTTCCGCTTTGACTGGGAACTCACCAAGAGTCCTGCGGGCGCCAACCAGTGGCAGGCCAAGAACACCGAGGCCATCATTCCCGATGCCTATGACCCCTCCAAGAAGCACCTCCCTAAGATGCTGACAACCGATTTGTCGCTCCGTTACGATCCAACCTACGAGAAGATCTCCCGGCGCTTCTTGGAAAACCCTGACCAGTTCGCCGATGCTTTCTCTCGCGCTTGGTTCAAGCTTCTCCACCGTGACATGGGTCCCCGAACCCGGTACATTGGGCCTGAGGCACCAACCGAGGATCTGATCTGGCAGGATCCCATCCCGGCTGTCAACCACACTCTGGTTGATGCAAACGATATTGCTGCTCTGAAGCGCACTATCCTTGACACTGGATTAGACAAGTCCAAGTTTGTGTCCACAGCCTGGGCCTCCGCGTCGACCTTCCGCGGTACCGACAAGCGCGGTGGTGCGAATGGTGCCCGCATCCGCCTGACACCCCAGCGCCAGTGGGAGGTCAATAACCAGCCATGGCTGGAGGAGACCTTGTCCGCTCTCGAGAAGATCCAGAAGGACTTTAACGACCGGAATTCCTCAACTGGAAAGAAGATCTCCCTCGCCGATCTCATCGTCCTGGCTGGTTGCGCGGCTATTGAAAAGGCTGCGCAAGAGGCTGGCCAATCGATCACCGTTCCCTTCACCCCCGGCCGGATGGATGCCAGTCAAGAGCAGACCGAGGTGGAATCTTTCTCTCACCTCGAGCCTGTGGCTGATGGATTCCGCAACTATGGAAAGTCCTCGTCTCGGGTGCGCGCTGAACACTATCTCGTCGACAAGGCACACCTGTTGACGCTCACTGCGCCCGAGATGACCGTCCTGGTGGGTGGCCTGCGCGTCCTGAACACCAACTACGATGGATCGAAGCATGGTGTCTTCACCTCCACTCCTGGTCGCTTGACGAATGATTTCTTCACCAACGTCCTTGACATGAACACGGCCTGGAAGGCTAAGGATGGTGGTCGCGATCTGTACGAGGGTACGGATCGTAAGACGGGTCAGCCAAAGTGGACGGCGACACGGGCGGATCTGGTCTTTGGCTCGCATGCTGAGCTGCGCGCTCTGGCTGAGGTCTATGGCAGCTCGGATGGACAGGAAAAGTTTGTCAAGGACTTTGTTACCGCTTGGGATAAGGTCATGAATCTGGACCGGTTTGACCTGAAGACCTCGGGTATTGCACGCTCCAAGCTGTGAATAGTGCTTGCATCCGTTCAAATTGATTTAGTTAGCATGAGTAATGAAATAGTTAATGAATGACTCTTGGATCTCACCGTTTTTAATTGGTCAAACTTACCTTATCCAATGATGTTTTTAATGTAAATGAGTGCCATGTAGAGCTACTTTCATCCTAAGGTTGCACAGGTGCGCCTTCCCACCGATACTCTGTTGTCCCGGCGGGTTTCCAACTGGGCAGGTCACAAGCCACTCTCGGGTTATATTGTCGAGCTGTCGAGCCGTCAAGAGACTGACCAGGCCGGCCTGTTGAGACAAAGCTCAGATTTCTTGATCTCAGCAGATGATAATAACCGCAAAAGCCATGACTCTCCATCTCCTTATTCTACTCCTCATCTCCCTCTTCGCAGCAGCCTTCTCCGTCTCGGAAGTGGACGTTGCAATCATCGGCGCAGGCTTATCCGGCCTCTCCGCAGCCAAGGACATCGCCGCCGCTGGTAAAACCTTTGCCATACTTGAAGCCCGCGATCGTGTCGGTGGTCGTGTCCTGAACGTCGAATTTCCTGGCGGTATCGTCGAGGAAGTTGGGGCCGAGTTCGTGGGTCCCACGCAGGACCGAGTCCTAGCACTTGCAGCTGAACTGGGGCTAGCTACCTATCCAACCTATAACACAGGAAATTGCACTTTCCTGAGAAACGGTACAATTACCAATTATACATGTGAATTGGGTAGTGCTAGTCTTCCGCCCTTAGCCACTGAGGCTTTAATCGAGGTGGGAACACTCCAGCAGCAGCTTAATGCCCTCGCCGCCGAAATCGATGTGCGGGCACCATGGGACCATCCTAACGCCTCTATGTGGGATACCATGACTCTGGGGACCTTCTTCGCCTCGCAGCTTACCTTGTCTGATGCGAAGTTTCTTCTCAATACATTCGTTACTGGGGTTTTGGCTACCGAGACTAATGAGCCCTCGCTACTTTATACGCTCGCTTATATTGCCGCAAGTGGGAATGAGACGGAGGTGGGAACTCTGGATCGGCTTATTGATGTGGTTGGGGGGGCTCAGGAGAGTCGGATAGTTGGCGGGACCCAGCTGATAGCGTTGAGGTTGGCGGATAGATTGGGATTAGAGAACATTCACCTTTGCAGTGCTGTTCGGAGAGTGGAACACAACAACGGGCAATACATGATTATCTCAAATGAGACTCGGATCATAGCAAAGCGAGTCATCATCGCAATGTCCCCTCCTATGGCCTCACGCATCTCCTACGACCCACCCCTCCCCCCGGCACGAGACCAACTCACTCAGCGCATGGGCATGGGATCAATAGGCAAAGCAATAGCGATTTATCCGACACCTTGGTGGCGTGAGCAGGGACTGAATGCGCAAGCACTTGCCGATACCGGCATCATCCACATAACTTTCGACAACACCCCGGTTGATGAATCCGTTGGTGCTATTATGGGGTTCATCGTTGGTGATGACATGAGACTAGTGGACAAGATGAACGAGACAGAGATTGAAACAGCAGTTATTGACAGCTTCGTGGGTATGTTTGGTCCACAAGCCGCGCATCCCGACCATGTTATTGTTCAGCGCTGGGACTGGGAGGAATATTCCCGCGGTGGACCAGTCGCTTTTGCGCCTCCTAGTGTGCTCACTGATTATGGTGAGTATTTGAGAGAGTCGGTGGGTGGGATTTACTTTGCTGGTACGGAGGCGTCATACTATTGGACTGGGTATATGGATGGGGCTGTTCGGTCGGGAGAACATGTGGCGGCGGAGGTGTTGAGATCTTTGGAGTGACCAGCTATTCTTAGTTCCTTTGCTCAGAGGGTATTGAGGTATTATTATTATAGGGAAGGGGGTCGCCTATATGGTCCTGGCGACGAATGACAGTTGCTGCTTTCATAACTTCATGGTAGTTTCATGGAACAGTCAAGTGGTGGTCGACTCCACAGTAATATTACTATGAACTTCCTCAAACAACCTCCAATTTGAGCAGGACCGAGAATATATATTGCTCCATATGATGTGAGCTAACACAACCAGCCGTTCTGACCATTGAGTCACATGACTACACAACTGTGATAAACTGTCCCGGACAAGTGCAGGAACCTAGAAAATCACCCTGTGAACTGAACGGAGTCCGCAAGGTTCTGCTTCAATCCCATTGCTCCGGCGATCTGTTCGATGGGGCGTAAGCTGGCCACTTTTATAGCCCGGGCGGCTCCGTATCAAATCATAGCAAAGGAAGGCCCGCCAGACCCACCGCAAACAAAAGCACTGCTGCCCTACCATATATCAGCCTGGCAGCTGAGCTGAAAGTTGAGCAGTCATGTCTCGTGAGATTGTCACCTCTTTTTCCCTCTCTTTTTAACCACTTGGCACACATATTCCTCTCATCTATGCATGTAATACCTCCTGATTCCCGATCTGTGAGAACAAACCGTTCTAAACAAAGACAATGCGCTTGATAAACGCCAGAACCATCGAATTGGAGGAATTTGTTGGCCAGAATATTCCTAGATACGCTATCCTGTCTCATACGTGGGGAAAAGATGAAGTCACTTTTCAGGACATGCAGACACCGACAGTCACCGAGAAGTTGGGGTACGCCAAAATCAAGCATTCCTGCGAACGGGCTCTGCAAGATAGTCTAGGCTATGTATGGGTGGATACCTGCTGCATCGATAAAACGAGCAGTGCTGAACTTTCTGAAGCCATCAACTCTATGATGGCATGGTACGCGCAGTCCAAAATTTGCTATGCCCACCTAGCAGACGTACCTCCGATCACTGATCAAGGGCTTGATAAAGCTGCTTTTTCACGGAGTCGATGGTTCACTCGAGGATGGACTCTTCAGGAGCTCATTGCACCAGCAGAACTGGTATTTCTAGCTCAGGATTGGTCAGACCTATATGAGAGGGAGATTTTAGCTGGGCTTATAAGTGATATCACTGGTATCCACCACTCATTTTTAGATTGGAGGCTAGATAATTCGATGCTTGGATTCAGATTGAAGTCGACAAGTATCGCTGAAAGAATGAGCTGGGCTTCGAACCGTGAAACCACTCGAACTGAAGACATGGCATATTCCCTGTTGGGTTTACTTCAAGTCAACATGCCGCTCCTGTATGGGGAGGGCTCCGCTGCCTTTCGAAGACTACAAGAAGAAATCATCAAATATTCCGACGATCAGTCATTGTTTGCGTGGAGTTTCAGAGGACCAGAACATGATTTGAATCATAAACGACCATGGTCGATATCTCAGTCATTGCTCGAGAAAATAGTTTTTATCTTTAAAGACTATGAAACCCCTCCAGAATCTTCTGGAGCAATGCGAATAGACATCTCAGACATCTCGGAGATCCTCGCTGAGTCTCCAGCGGCATTTCGAGGTTGTGGCGACATAGTTCCATGCGACGTCAAAAAGCCGACCCCTCCTTTCTCGATGACCAATAAGGGTCTAAGCATAGAACTGCCACTTCTTGAGCTCTCAGACGGCTACTTCGCTCTCCTACAGTGTCAAACGAAGACAGACCCTACAAAGCTAATAGCCCTGCCATTACTGAAAATAGACGATACCTACTGCCGATCCAAACGGGGGAATTATGTGGCTAATCATGCAGCCTGGTTGAGATGGCCACGTGCTCAACTTTATTTCTTTCCCGACGAAGATTCAACCATTGCAGGTATCATGAATTGCCCCTGCTATTCTGTCGTTATAAAAACCCTTCCACCCAATCTTCGGATAGCAAAAGTGCTCCCATCTAGTCCATACTGGCAGCCCGATTCGATGGTCATATTCAAAAAGGCCCGAGACGTTTTCGACTCCGATGTTAAAGACGTTTTCGTACAATTCCAGGATATTGGTGATAACGGACAGACATTCATATTGGCTGTTCGTATGCAGCAAAATCTCTCCTGGCGGCCTAACGCCAAATGGCAGGATACTCTCACACCTTATCTATTTCTTCCTCCATCCGATAATATCAACGTGACGCTAAAGGACTTACAGAACGTGTTGCGACAGGAAAGTTTAAGACCAAAGCTGTCAGTCCCATACTACGTTGAAATAACTACACAAACATTGTCTCGGAGTGGCCTTTACATGGTTGATATTATACCCAAACGCCGTGCCAAAAGGGAGGGGAATAAAGAGATACATAACTTGAAATTCTGGACGGGTCTGCTGCGTCGAACTTTGATACGTGATTCGCTAGTAGAGCGCGTCTATGAAGACTGGCTTGATCACTTATGTGACCGAGGGCTTAGGTCTCTTCGGTTGCTCGCACTTTTATCCTTGTTTTTCGCTTTCCCCTTCGACCTCATACTCAAGGTGGTTGTGTCACTGACCACGCCAGTGCTATCGCACATTGCTTTCTATACAAAGTGTCTGACAGCTGCCAGTTATGAGAACCGTCTCACATCTGTGGTTCATGAAATGAGCCGGACAGTTATGGCCCATAAGTTCAGTATCGCAGCAGTTGTCTCGGCAAGTGGTCTACTACTAAGCAACACCGCTGCCATGCGCAAGATTTTCATCTGGGTTCTGAAGTATTCACGTTCCAAAGGTGTTTTGAAGATCCTTCTACTGTACATCATCTGCAAATGTATTCCACCGAGGACGCTCTTGTCTTTTGCTGGTGAAGAAGAAATCTATCATGAAGATTGAAGGACAGTGTTGTGGTCAGGCTGACATATACCATTGATTATCTTTCTTATTTTCTGTAGGCCGCGCAGTTGGTGTACGTCCGATCCAGCTGGCAGCGATACCCATTACCACTATGTCGAACTTTTCCACTCGCATTAAGGATATAGTGAAGAATTGACTATAATCCCAAATAGAAAAGGGAAGTAATGAGTTAGCACATCTACAGGATCTAACCAAAATAATATTTTGTGCCAGCACTATAGTACAAAACTCACACCTCGCCCTCCGAAACCTCTCTATACACCTTCAACTCAACCACACTACCAGCCTGCCTATCCAAAAGATCCCTCTCCGTATCATTCGACCCCCTCTCACCCCCTTCATTTTTTACCCCCCTTGCTTCCCCATCAACAGTATTGGCTCTCATCCTAGTACTTACATGAACCCCCACACCCCCCTCCTTAACCCACTTCCAACTCCAACTCCGACTCCTCCCAACACTCCAACTCCACGACCCCACCCCACTGCCACTCCTACTCCCACTTCCCCCCTTCCTCCCCCCACCACACCACACACTCCTCACAAAAACATTAACCCCGGGCAAACACGAACACCACACGGCAACATCCACCTCCAACATAGCAAGCACCCAGCAATACCAAACATCCCAACTTGCATCATAACTCACATAAAACATCCTATAAAGAAACCACACCCTCACCCCAGCTACAACAGCAGCCAAATACCCCAACCCAAACACCACCCCATTGAGCAATACCTTCTGCCTCAATCTCATCTGCAATCCCCAACACAACACAGCGGGTAGCGTTGTGGCCACAATATCCTGCACGAGACTTATAAACGTCGCGGCGATGAGATGAGCAGGTTCGTTGTAGCACGTGTATTTGTGCGTGGCGGTATACTCCGGGTCGACTTCCATCCAGTAGGCCGAGAAGGGACGACAGGCGACCCAGATTACGATGAAGAAGGCGAGCGTGTAGGCTGCTACGCTGGCGATGCTAATATAGATTATGTTGAGGAAGCGAGGGGAGATGGTCGTGCGGTGGCCCATGCGGCGGTAGAAGAGAAGGACAGAGATCTTAGTGAAGCATGAGGAGAGGATGTAGAAGAGCTCTTGTGCGATGGCAAGTTTGCGCGATTGGAGGAGTTGGGGGAGTGTGTTGTCCCAGACGTGGTGGTTTTCGCCGTAGATGTAGGCTCCTGGGTGGTTGGTTAGTACAGGTGAGTTGATGAGGAGACGGCTTGGGCAGTACCGAGGGGGAAGCTGATGTTGAGGCCTATGGCTGGGATCTGGGGGATGTTAGAAGGTATTGGGTTGTGATAGGAAGAGGTTGTCTTACTAGTGCTAATGCGATGAATATGTCGTCTAGTTTACCCTGTCGCTGAATTACACAGCGAGCCCATAGTCGAAGTATGACTGCTATGACTGCGATGGATCCGAAGATAACTGGGAGCACAATGGACGCTGCCCCATGGGTTTCCGGGTTGATGGTGTTGCGTGCAGGCCATGATTCCATGACCGAAAGCGGTGGATGCAGGCCCCCTGGCATGGTGAAGGAATGAATAGAGCTGACAGGATGATGACCTGCAGTCAAACTCTACGTGCAGCAAACCAGGAACCGCATCCTTTTACATACCTGCCACAGCAAGCATAATCTAAGCTCCAGTGTCTGTAAATTTAGCTCAACGCACAGAAAGATATGATCCACAAAGCAGGGCTCCCTATTATGGATACAAGTAGGAATTGACACGAACAAATTCTCCGAATCAATATAACCATAACACCAATGACTAGTTGGAGCCAATAAGGCCCCGAAGCTCAAAAATGGGACAGCCCGTTGTGGGGCGGCAACCCTAAATTGGCCGTCGATCTGGGGCGTTTCATGGTGAAACGCCCACACAAAGAAGAGCTGGTGGTCCTGGCACCTGTCAACTGGATTAGCCTGCAGGTGGATGTCACAGTGGCGTGAGGGCAGTGGACGTATCAATATTTCATCCCGGCTTGTGGTCTCCAGTCCCGGATTGATTAGACGGGCCGATTCTGACGTTGATGGATCAACAGGCACCTTCGGGATTCATTCTTTATCTTGCTTCTTATGGGAACCCGTCCATTAACATTATTCGCCGGTTATGGTTCCAGGATGTTGATCAAATCCCGATGTCCACGATAACTCTATTGGCTTTACCAGCCTTGCTTGGAGCTTTGATCGCACTTTAGTTTCGGCCGAAGGGGCTTGGTCACGTCCCCACTAGCATGATCCCAATTCGACGACCGAAAGACAATTTGAATTGCATTCTTCGCTAACTGCCTATAATATGATTTAATCCATAAGTCACGTCCATGTTACGGGTGTGAAGATGATCCATTATTTGAGGGTGCATATTAGCTCCCCGCCACTTCCCTCAGTTGGAGTGCCATAGGGCCAATCTCTGAACAATAACCTGGATCGGGTCTACTCCAACCGGGCGGCAAAAGCGTCAAGTCAAATTTTTGACTGGAAGTGTGGAGCCTTTCGGCATGTTATGGCAGGCCTTGCAGTTATTGCTCCGGATATGACAAGTTAGCAGTCCGGGTACCAGGCGAGTCATAGCTGCCAAGCCCTCTTTCACTGAGACATGCTTTGCCTGAGTACTCCTTTGCGCAAGACGAACTCCAACTGCACATTTTGTGTGAATTTCAACTGGAAAAGGTCGTTCGGGTCTAAAAGCTAACATGGCTGCGCTAGCCCTGCAGGCATCAGGAGAAATACCCGACCGTGCCTGTCTGGGACTGCGTGCCATCAGAATGGCATGCATTCATCCCCATCTGCAGCTCGTTGTTCCGCCAATCAGAGTTCATTCTGTTTCCGGCAATGCCCTATAAATGTCAAACAGTTCACAGCATCTATGAAGAGTATTGCATCATGTTCCTACGAGTACTGTCCGAACACACGCGGATATTAGCCAAGTCTAAGGTCCTCTGTCAATACATTGATGGCTGTTATGTCGGAGGCTGCTCCGTGATGAATCAGTCACGCAGCAACATCTGCCCCAAACCTCCTCATAATTAATCTATTCGGCTATTCGGTCCTTTCTCCGGATATATGTCCTCGTCCCTGCATCCACAGAATCAGATCATCCATTACTTCGCAGGTTACGATTCGTCCGTCTGACCACACAATGCCTTGGTCCGTTCCAGGTCAGGTATAGCATGTCCGTTCGAGTCACTAACGCAGGGCCAGCTGCATGTCACGCATGTGCTAACATCGTTGTTTGTAGAATTGTGCCTGAAGAACATTTCCGGCACTTGAACCTGCTGGATATATAAGCTTCATGCTCTCCCACATGGATTGACAATCTATCAGCAGCACCAGGATAATCACCAGTCGCAATGTGGCGTACAATCACAGCCCTGGCAGCAGGCTACTTGATTGACTCGGTCCAGGCAGCCGCTTCTCAGGAATATACCTGGAAGAATGTAGTCACAGGAGGTATGATTTATTTTTCGGCATAGGGAATGAACAAGCTAATGTTCTCAGGTGGCGGAGGCTTCACGCCGGGCATCGTGTTCAACCCTTCAGCCAAAGGTGTCGCGTATGCTCGCACCGACATCGGCGGTGCATACCGGTTGAACTCGGATGATACATGGACTCCCTTGATGGACTGGGCCAACAACTCCAATTGGTACGTAAGCCCCTCCTACGGTATGCTCGTGCTCACTGTTCAGGCACGACTGGGGCATTGATGCGATCGCGACCGATCCCGTTGATACCGACCGAGTGTATGTTGCAGTAGGCATGTACACCAACGATTGGGATCCCAATGACGGCTCAATCCTGCGGTCAACCGACCAGGGCGATACCTGGGAGGAGACAAAGCTTCCCTTCAAAGTTGGAGGGAATATGCCCGGTCGGGGCGTTGGCGAAGTATGGCCCATGTCTGTTTCTTGCAAGCATACACTGACCACTGCAGCGACTGGCCGTGGACCCGAATGACAACAGCATCTTGTACTTTGGAGCCCGCAGTGGCAATGGCTTGTGGAAGAGCACGGACTATGGCGCGACATGGGCGAACGTGACTGCCTTTAAGTGGACTGGCACTTATTTCCAAGACTCCAGCTCAACCTACACTTCTGATCCGGTGGGAATCGCCTGGGTCACGTTCGACTCGACCTCAGGGTCCAGTGGCTCTCCGACTCCGCGCATCTTTGTCGGTATGTTAGGGACTTCAGAACCTTCAGGATAGTTCATTGACAATTATAGGCGTGGTGGACACTGGAGAATCAGTCTTTGTTTCTGAAGATGCTGGTGAAACTTGTAAGCACCTCTAATCTTTTTCCACAAACATCATCTAACAAACACAGGGGCTTGGGTATCCGGAGAGCCATCGTATGGCTTCCTCCCTCACAAAGGTGTTCTGTCACCATCCGAGCACACTCTCTATATCTCCTACTCTAACGGCGCCGGCCCATATGACGGCACCAATGGCACTGTCCACAAATACAACATCACCAGCGGCACCTGGACCGACATCAGCCCGACCTCTATGGCGGACACCTACTATGGCTATGGTGGACTAGCAGTCGACCTCCAGGTCCCTGGCACCGTCATGGTAGCAGCTCTCAACTGCTGGTGGCCCGATGAGTTGATCTGGCGTAGTACAGATTCAGGGGCAACTTGGTCACCTATCTGGGCTTGGAATGGCTATCCCAGCATCAACTACTACTACTCGTATGACATCTCCAATGCCCCGTGGCTACAAGACGACACCTCAACGGACGAGTTCCCAGTCCGCGTCGGGTGGATGGTCGAAGCCCTCGCCATTGACCCCTTCGACTCTGACCATTGGCTTTACGGTACTGGTGCGACCATCTACGGCGGTCACGACCTCCAAAACTGGGACAGCACACACAATGTAACCATCGAATCTCTCGCCGTAGGTATTGAAGAAATGGCTGTCCTCGGTCTCATCACTCCCCCGGGCGGACCTGCCCTCCTGTCTGCGGTCGGCGACGACGGCGGCTTCTACCACACTTCCCTCACGACCGCCCCTTCACAATACTACCACACCCCAACCTACGGGTCAACCAACGGTATCGACTATGCCGGCAACAAGCCCGCCAACATCGTTCGTTCTGGATCCAGTGACTCCGATCCCACCCTCGCTTTATCCTCCAGCTTCGGTGAGTCCTGGTATGCCGACTACGCCGCCTCTTCCTCAACTGCGACCGGCCAAGTCGCCCTCTCCGCAGACGCCGACACCATCCTGCTCATGAACAGCGATGGCGCCTATCGTTCTCAAAGCTCAGCTACTCTCAGCGCAGTCTCTTCTCTCCCATCGGGAGCCGTCATTGCCTCTGACAAAGCGAACAACACCTACTTCTACGGAGCGTCCGGCTCCTCTTTCTACCTTTCATCTGACACCGCGGCGACCTTTACCGTCACCACCACCCTCGGCAGCAGCACAACCGCCAACGCCATCCGCGCGCATCCCTCCCTTGCTGGTGACGTCTGGGTCAGTACTGACACAGGCCTCTTCCACTCAACCAACTACGGCAAGTCCTTCACGCAGATCGGAAGCGGATGCACAGAGGGATGGAGCTTCGGATTCGGCAAGCCCTCTTCCGATAGTGATTACCCTGTGCTATTCGGCTTCTTCACCGTCGATGGCGTCACAGGTCTCTTCAAAACGGAAGATCAAGGTGTCAATTGGCAGATAATCTCCGACGCCGATCACGGGTTCGGGGCTGCATCGGCGAATGTCGTTAATGGTGATTTGCAGAACTATGGAAGGGTATTTGTCGGGACAAATGGACGGGGCATATTTTATGGTGATCCGAGTGGAAGTCTGCCGAGTGCGACTGCTACTGCATCTAGTGCTTCGTCGACAGCGGTGAAGACTTCGACCTCAACTTCGACTTCTAAGGTAGGTACGAGCACAACTATTTCGAGCACAAAGAGTACGGCTACAACTATCACTACGAGCAGTATTAAGTCGACGACCTTGACGACGACTACGAAGTCGAGTAGTTCGACTACTTCAACGACATCGACTGCTACTGGGACGGCGTCAGCGTATGGGCAGTGTGGTGGCAGCGGATATACGGGAGCGACGCAGTGTCCGAGTGGGTGGACGTGCACGTATGAGAATGAGTATTATTCGCAGTGTAAGTTATTCCTTGGTATTGGATACATGGAGACTGACTATTGCAGGTCTTGAGGGTTGAGTGGTTGTAGTAGGGGGTGAGGGGGGTTGATGAATACTACCAGATATCGAAAGTATATTTGACATTGATACTGAACCAATTCCTACTCTGAATTATGAAACTACTCTACTCTGTAAGGGCATCTAATAAGAGGTGCTTATCGACTATAGCCTAGTATGCGTTAGTCTACTACAATGCGCTGATTGATGACATTTCCATCCCTTTCATACCATATATATAACCCTCTTAACACACATCTACTCCCTTACCAAACACTCCCTATTCAAATCCTCCTTCCTCACACTCCTAATCCCCCCCAAATGCAACGACAACTGCAACTCACCCAACAAACTCCTCAACACATGCCTCACCCCCTCCTCCCCAGCAATCGCCAACCCATAAACATACGGCCTACCCACTAGCACCATCTTCGCCCCCAACGCCAGCGCCTTCATCACATCCGCACCACATCTCACCCCGGAATCAAATAACACCTCAATCTGCTCCCCCACGGCATCCACAATCCCCGGCAACACCGCCAACGACCCAACGCCCCCATCCATCTGCCTACCCCCATGATTCGAAACAACAATGCCCTGCATTCCACACTCCACCGCCCTCCTCGCATCCCCCACACTCTGCACCCCCTTCAACACAATCGGGCCCTCCCAATGCTCCTTCAAAAACGCCAAATCCTCCCACGAATGCGACACCCCGGGGAACACAATCTTCGTCCACTCCGCCGCAGCAGTGCCCTTATCCTCCTCCACCTCCTTCCCATATCTGTCCTTGAAATGCCTCCTAAACACCGGATCACTAAATCCCATCTCCACCCCGATACTATCCGCCCTCAGGAACGGATTATACCCATTATCCATATCCGTTGGCCTCCACCCCAAGATATACGTATCCAATGTGACAACCAACACATCATACCCGTTCTTCTTGGCCCGCTCTAACAAACTAACCGTTATATCATTATGCTCATTCCCAGGCCAATACAGCTGAAACCACCGCTTCCCATCCGCCCCGTTCGCTTCCGCTACATCCTCAGTAGAAGTCGCTGTCGCCGTGCTCAACGTATACGGCACATCCAGCTCCGCCGCGGCGCGCGCTACGGCACGTTCACCCTCTGGGTGGAAGATAGTTTGTACCCCTACGGGGGCGATGGCGATAGGCGAGGAGTAGGTTTTGCCGAAGAGGGTGGTGGATAGATCGGGGAACTTGGCCGAGGGGACCAGTCGGGAAGGTATTACGGACCAGCTCTGGAATGCGGTCCGGTTCTTGCGGTCGGTTTCGCCCGTCCCTGCCGACCCGTGCACGTAGCTGAAGCTGTTGGCGGAGAGGCGTGCTCGTGCGAGGTTCTCCCATTCGCTAGGGATGAAGGTTATAGCTGGTTTTTGGTCGCGGAGGCCGTGCGCGTACACTTCGGATTGGTAGGCGTAGGGTGAGGGTGACATTTTGCGTTGTGTTTTTGAGTTTGGGGATTTATTTATGTGAGAGCGTAGGTGGAAGTAAGGATTGTAGGGGTTTGATGAAGGGAAAAGAGTTATGGGAGTGTAAATGGGAGATATATGCGTCAAGAGCTGCTGCAATTCAGGTTTTTGACCAGGAGGTTTGATATCAGCGATGACGACATGGATGGAGCGGGTGGGGCGGATCCTCAGGCACCGACGCTGTGCAGCGGTTCATGCACTGAGTTCAGGGACATTTACCCTGGTAGAATAAAAGCACCATACTGAGCGACGCGATGGAAGGTAGGAGATCTATACTTGTGATATAGTAATCGCGTACGAGCTCGGGTGAGTCCTTGGCTTAGGGTCCCGCTGTGGTGTTCTCCTAAGAGGCATCTTACCCGTCTGCAACGCTTGTCTCGACTACCACTTTTCTCGGTCAGGTTAGGTATGTTATCTAACAACCCATTGGTCACTCCTTGTAGTTATTATGTTGTTCTGAGTAAATAATTTCCCTTTTAATGCACAAGGTACTATTGAACCCTTAACGCTCAGAGAGGAAATCGCTCCACTATACAGCAGCCTGCCGGACGGTTAAAAATGTGCATCGGATATGGTAAAAAGGGTTCATTACCATAGAAAGACATGGGAAATTTACCCTTTGCTAAGACCAATACTAGCAGCACAGTATAGGATGCCGTTGCTCTTCTGTTCGAGCACACTGACATCTCCCCTCCATGGTGCGATATCCACCCTCGTCGAACGGATAACTCTTGAGGACATCTGCCAGTGCAGTGCTTGTGGAGCGGTCAACGCTGTCAACGACACAACCACTACCATCCCACGAAAGGATCACACTGGTGCCAAACAGACCCTCTTAACTCCATCAACGAGATAACCAAATGGCCAGCAAGATAGTCCGGATGGTCCGTGGCACAGTGGGGCGATGTGGATCATCCGTGACTTGGCTCAAAGTTTTGATGCTCTAGAACGCCACTGGTGATCCACCCGTTAAGACTTTGTCTAGGCCTTCAAGGTCCCATTTATCGCCATCTCTCATCCTTCGGCCTTCTAGACTTTGGTAAACAAAGCCCTCACCGCCACCTCAACCTTATCTTTGCTACTTACTGTACCTCTCAGCTCCTACTAGCTGGAGATATCCACATCGCCGCTGCCGTCCAGGTGCCTTCCGCCCGTGTCCGGTCCGCTGCCCCGTTAGGGTATGGTGTCTTGACGAGAGCGTGGTGGAGATGGAGCCAGAGGCAACCAATTGAGCAGTGTGTTCTCGATAGCCGACTGCCAGTTGTTTATCCCTATGTTTACCTTAGTGTCTTGGATAATAGCTATTGACTGATCAGACCTGGTCTATGGAGAACTTACCTTACGGTAGATTGCGGGTCCTTGTACGGTCGCTTGGGCATGCTTCAGTTAATAGCGCGCTAGAAGCGGCCCTTTCTGCCATAAAATTCTCGTGAGAAAATAGTCACCCACGTCAATGACAAAAGTATCAGGGACACTCAGGTATATCGGACAATATCAGCCCCAGACAGCAAAAGCAGAAGGCGTAGCTTCCCGCCAGACATCCGGGGCCTGACAGTTCTGCCTAAACGCATACTCCATGATGAAGAATGATCACCAAACATGCATGCAATGAATGGACATAAAAGACATTGATCATCAATCAGACTGTCAGCCCAAGGGAGGAGGGGGGTGGGTGACGATTGAGATTAGCGTTTCAGCCATCACACTTATAACCAGATCTAGCATCACTTTGAAGCATGACCTCACAGTAGAGTACGTCACTACCATCCAATTTCGCTTCACTTGCTATAGTATAAAAACTGTCAGCCTGGAGAACCAGCCCTTTCAGTAGCGGCTTGGTGGGGCTTGTGATACACCACATCGAATTATTGGCAAGTCGACCTGGAAAGTTGGGGGCGCCCCTGGCATTGGAATCCGGGTTGTCTGTCGTCATCTCATTCAAGGGGAATCTGAGACATGGGGATTGTTGGTCAAAACAGGGTTATCTAGGCACCGTTTTCTTGGCCAATTGTTTCGTGGGCAAGTCTGCCGAGGATGGATTCCTGGCGATAACAGAACGATATGGATGGAATTCGACACGCTAGCTGATTTTCATTGCAGTACTTTGGTTGGTTGGTGAGGGAAATCTCTAGCTTCACTATCACCGCTACTATTGATATACTACGCTGACAGATTTATTTAGTTCTTTCTTTTTATTCTTTATGACCCGCCATCCATTCAACGTGGGCCAGTCAATGCGAGATTTACAACCACGCTGTCGAGCTGCATGGATTATATACTTCAATATCAATAGCTCCATAGCAATACAGTATCAGTAATCAACTAGTGGGAACTGCGATAACCCGTAGGGTTGTGTTGGTTGTAATGCTTCATTAATATAGTATACAGTTGTGGGTTCAACGGACATGTCGCTCCCTCTTGGCTAAAACGGTTGTTGCTTGAACTGCATACTATGGGGATCTGCCACCTCTCATTCTGATCTCTCCCCCTCTCAGCCCCTCCAAAGTACTGACAAAAAAGCCACCCTTGCGGGAATCAGTGGGTGATCATGGTGATCATGACGAATCCTCTGCATACTTACCTACCCCTGAGTACGCAATGTGCGGAGATTAACATGGCGGACATCAAAAAGCGGTCGCGCAACAGGGTCCTGATTTTACCGGATGCGGTCAGGGCGGTTAGGGTAATCATTCAGGGCCCGGTGGATTTGTTGTTGTCTCGGCCCGATAGTTTCGGCATTGAAGCTTCTCACTATTTGTCGATCGACCCAACGGGAGCGACGGCTTGGGTCTCGGGATGGAAGGCTAAGAAGGTAACGAAAAAGCAAGCAAGTAAGCAAGCAAGCAAGCAGTGGGAAAAAGGGACCGGATTAGCTTCCCGCCGCACACGGGTTCATCCGGACGGTGATCAGTGGCTAGGATAGAGATAGGGGTGCTACAGTAGGGATTCCAGACACACTCAAACTAAAGGAGCACGCAATCAGGTTTCGCTGACTGGTTGAATAATAATCCATTCCAAATTTTCAGAGCTGTTGTATTTTTTTTTTTCTTTCTAGGCTTAATCCACATCGCCGATCGATGAACAGCTGGTCACACAAGCTTTCCAAGCAATACTACTATCCATTCATGGACCCTTCACAGACCACATGTCAAGCGGCGATCGTGGAGCAGAAAGCATTGGATATCCACCCCGTAAATCCACTATCGATAGCATCGTTGTAACGATCCACTCTGTGGCGAGCATGTGAACAGTTACTCGACTCTGCTGGAGTCGTAACCCCCGTCTGGAAAAGGGAAGAGGAGAAGGATGGGGGTGGTAGTGTTATTCAGCAGGGAGGCGAATGAGAAATCACAGACCTGATCCACCAGAGACAATGTGGTCGCACTTCGCACTGCAGGGTGAGACTGGGGGAGACAGATAAGCCAGTAGACTATTAATAAACTAGCGATAATGCGATAAACGCAATGGCAGGGTCAACTGAACTATGCTGGACGCGCAATCGATGAAGAAATGCTGCAACACCAGAAATTAGGGCACGGAGCGCGACCGAAAAAGAAGTGTGGACGGAGAGAAAGTCTATCGATGCCACACCATCACTGCCTTCCCCCAGCTGAGAGAACCCACTTTTTCCTCAGATTCTTTACAGACTTTTTTTCCTTGCGCCCCGCCAATCTACTATTTAAAAAATGACCCGGCTGTCCCTGTCTCGTAGTTCCTCAATTCAGAATCTCTATCAAAATGGCCATCCTCGATCTTTTGCGAGGCCGCCGCGCGCAGGAGCAGCAGCAGCCGCAGCAGTTTGACGGCGATACTCCCTCCAAATTTCCCCAATTCACTATCTTTTCTCGTCCGGGCTCGTCGTTAGGTGATGACAGTAGCACGCCTTCATCGGGTATTGCCACCCCAATTGAAGAGAAGCAGCTCACGAAGCTGGGACCATGTCCCGAAATTGGTCGTCTGGCCTCGTGGAAAGGCGCCCTCATTCTGCTCGTCACCTCCGGCTCCCAATTCCTCGACAATGTCTTCATGACCAGTGCCAATGTCGCTTTGTCATCTATTCAAGAGAACTTTGACGTGTCGGACACCAATCTCCAATGGATGATCTCCGCATACACCCTTACGTTTGGTGGGTTCTTGCTCCTTGCGGGTGTTCTTTCCGACCGGTATGTACCATGTCCCCTTGAGACAATATCCTTCACCAAGCTAACTATAGACTTTCTCATCCAGGTATGGTCGCAAGTTGATCCTCTGTCTGGGTCTAAGCTGGCTCTCCCTCTGGACCCTGGCCATTGGCTTCGGCCAATCATTCATCCAACTCACAGTCTTCCGCGGTCTGCAGGGCATGGGAGCTGCGCTCACTGTGCCTTCAGCGATCGGAATCATCAGCTCCTACTTCAGTGGGCTTGATCGGACCCGCGCACTGTCCATCTACGCCTCCTCCGGAACTGTGGGGTTCTGCGTGGGTCTTATTTTTGGTGGCTTCCTTACTTCCTCTCTGGGATGGCGATACATCTTCTATTTCATCGTCATCATCACCGGTTCGCTAGGCATCCTGGGTGCTATTGTCCTGCCCAAGGACAACCTTGCTGGCAAGGAAAAGCCCAAGATGGACTATGTTGGCGCCATGCTCTCCACTGCGGGTCTTATTCTCCTCCAATTCGTGCTGTCCAGTGGTGGCTCCTATGGCTGGGGCACACCTTTCATCATTGTCCTGCTGGTGCTGGCCGTCGCCCTACTGGTGGCTTTTACTCTCTGGGAGAAGTTCATTTCGTACCCACTGATGCCTCTGGGCTTGTGGAAGCTCCCTAACTTTGCTGGTCTGTGGATCGCAGGATTCAGTGAGTTCCCCCACCCCTAATCTTCCTACATACAGAGAAACTAACAGACCCCTCCAGCCTGCTACGGCAGCTACCAAAACGTCATCTACTACATCGTCCTAATGGCCCAGGAAGTGGACAAGCTGTCCGCCGGCGACACCGCACTCCGCTTCCTCCCCATGGGAGTGATCGGGTTCATCGCCTCCATGGGCACCGGCAAGGCCCTGGAATACGTCAATGGGAAATACACCCTGCTGGCGGGGTTGATCCTGACTGTTCTCGCCCCAGTCCCGAGCGCTATCACATCCAGCCCAGAAACCAGTTTGTGCGTGACCCACTCTATCCCCTGAAAGAATGAATGCATGCTAATGATTTACATCCAGCTGGGTCAATGTCCTCCCCACCTCCCTGATCAGCATCACTGCCGTCTCCCTCATCTTCGTGACCACCAGCACTGCCATTCTCACTACTGTCCCTGTGCATGTGAAGAGTCTATGTGGTGGAATGGTAAGCTCCATCCCCTATCCCCTTTCTTACATCACATTGGAAACCCCAAACTAATGAAGGAAATAGCTCAACACAGCCTTCCAAATCGGCTCCGGCGTCGCCCTTGCCATCTCCGCGGCCGTCGCTGAAGAAGTAGACATCAAAAAGGGACATGATCTCGCGCATCAATACCGCACGGGATTGTGGTGCTCTGCCGGTCTAGCGGGTCTAGGCCTGATTATTGCATTCTTTACTGTGAGCAGGAGGGGCATTGGGCCGGGTGATAGGGATGATACTGTTTGCGCGATATAAATAGACTTTTCTTCTTCTTTCTCATCTTTTCTTTTGACTTCGATTCAGTTCTCTGGCCCCATTATTTGTTTTGCTTTTCGATGATTCCCTTCTTACTGGTTTTGATTTGAGATCTGTTGTGTTTGGTGTTGGTGAGAGGGTATTTCTTTACTTGCTTGCTTATTTCTTTCTTTCTTTTTCTCCCTAGATGGGATGGGATACAACGGGTTATAGATGGGAAGCAGCGGGACGGAAAAGTGGGCTATGCATTATCATTGGTTTTTTGGGATTTGATCTTCATCTTTCCTTCTTGCTAGATGATATGACATGTTATGACTGCTATGATATATAGATAGATAGATGGGGCGAATATACATACATACATATATTGATTATTGTGAACATCACTTGTTCACTTTTGTTCATGATACCAGTGAATGAAAAAAGTGAATGAGTATCTCCTGATCCATTAGATGAAATAGGAAAGTATCTCAACTGGGGTTGTAGCTCAGTGGTAGAGCGCTCGCTTTGCATGCGAGAGGTCAAGGGTTCGATCCCCTTCAGCTCCATTTTTTTGTTTTTTCCTTTCCCCTTCCCACCCCTTCCTCTCAAACTTTTTGCTACCCACCCATCAAAACTAGGTAGGTCGGTTTGGCACATTTAAAATTTTGCTTTTTGTGACTTAATGCGACACATTTCTATTAGTGATATGAACATAAATAGAGAAGAATAGAGTTTCACCAGAACAAAATCCTGCTTCTGGATCACTTCGCTTACAACTAGTACGGAGTAGATTGCAATGAGAAAAACTTTAATCTGGGCGGGTCCGGCAGACGGGAGGGAGGGGAACCATTACCCACCTCCATTCTACCCAGTATCCAGTGATAGTAATTTTCAGGGACTCGTGGGTGACTTGGACCATGTATGGGTGATTTGGATATTTGGTTTTGTTTATTAGGGGGTTTAAAGTGGCGAATTCTGTGAAGTTCGAACTGGGTGAGGTTTTTGTGGTTGGTTTCTAGGTCTAGTTCAGTTGCAGTCGTTCTCAGTAGCAGTAATATATATTTCTGCTAAACATCGACTTCACCACCAAGGTTCTCTGTGATGCACTCAAGTATGCATCAAAGGAGTGACATACTACCAGTAGCATTGACTACCAAAGATGATCGGTAAAATCAGTAGTACTATGTGGCATTCTCAACTCGCACTCCCCCACAACTTAACCTCCCCCATCATCCCTACAAATTCCTCCCCTATCCTCTGCACCGGTGCCTCGATCGCAATGGGCGCCCACACCGAGTACTCCCCATTTACTCCTAATCTCGCTAGAAATTCCATCTTCTCACCCCCGTCAACAGATAAAAATGTCTTATTTCCCTTTCCGATCAAGCTCACATCCGACCATTTTCCGACCGGGAGACTGTAGTTCAGTGTGTATGGGTTCCCGCCGCTCACAAGGGTGATATTACTGATTGACCCGTTGCCGTTGAGGAGGGTAGAGTCCCTCCCTGAGAATAAAGGTGACGGGTGAGTTGTGGAAGGATATACAGAGAAAGAGAGGGTATAGTCTCTTCCTTTGCTTTGGATAGGGGTGGTGAGGGTGCATGTTCCTGTGAATTTTATAGTTGAATTAAACGTATTGATGGGACAGGTGTGGTTTAATGTAGCGTGATAGTTGTTTCCAGATAAATCCGGGACAGTTGTCCCAGTGGTATTGGCGAAGTTGTAATGCAGAATCAGATCCGTCTTGCTCGGTACATGACGATCCAGGTTCTGGCCTGGGATCACAGCGTGGATTGTGTCGAACACATCATCGTATTCATCTTCCAGGATATCACCGCCCCATTGCTTGTCTGCTAGTGCGGGGAGAACGTCACGCCAGGAGTAATACGCCTCGAGATAGGTCGTTGCGTTGGGACCGTAGTCGTTCCAGAGGGCGGCGATGTGGCCGAGTACGTAGGGGTTATCTCTTGGAGGATTATCGGTTGCGTTAGTGGTAGAGAAGATGTTGGGGGCGTAGGGGCCGTTGTTTGCTGGATCGCCGTGGAAGACTCGCGTCTTGTTGAGATACTGAGGATAGCTTCCGGACCACTTTCCGACAATGTAGAAGGCGTCGTCGGAGTTAAGGACTGAGTAGTTGTTCTTGATGTAGTCGAAGTAGGGGTTGTCTTCGTAGAATTCCCAGTGCTGGATGGTCACGGCTTTGGAGACGTTGGCGCCTTGCGATGGAGTGAAGGTGCCCCAGATGCGGGTGTTCTTGTCGGATTGCTCGGCAATGTAAGTGTGCATGTCGTTGACGAAATCGGTATAGTCGGACACGTATGAGGAGGAGTATTCGTCTGCGCCGAGGTGGACGGTTTTGCTTTGGAACCAAGGAAGGAAGGTCTTCCAGATTGTTTTCATGGTCGGGATGGTGTCTGGATGGCTGATGTTGAGCATGCTGAGGTCTGTCAGGCCGAGTTCTGGTCGCCATTGCACGATGGCGAGGGCATGGCCGGGCGCTTCGATTTCAGGGATGATGGTGACACCACGACGGGCGCATTGGCGCTGGATGTGATCGAATTGGCTGCGCGTGTACGATTCGTTGGCTCGTTTGTTGAGCCCGGATAGGGCGGGGTCGTCGGACCAGGGCCGGAATGCTGCGTAGAGACCCAGAGATTCCTGGGTGGAGTAGAGATCGACGTTGTTGTAGAGATTGTCGCTCAGATGGAGGTGGAAGACGTTTTGCTTGAAGAAGGACAGATACGAGCACATTTCAATCAAGAAGTCGGGTGGGTAGTAGTGACGTCCGGTATCGAGCTTATCGGTTAGATGTATGGTCGTGTACAGGTGTTTGAGGGCTTACCATGACGCCTCGCGTCCCCCATCCTGGAGCATCGATGGCAGAGCCTTGAGGGAGGTTATGTTTACTAACCACAGCAGCCTGGATTAGCGAACGTGTTCCCCACCAAACGCCTAAGGGGCTTGCCCCAGAGATGGCAATTCCATGATTGTCGATGAGCAAGGCATATGCCTCCGCTGTGAAGCGTCCCGCAACATCGCGGAAGTCTGTGTCATTGGAGAGGGTCAGGAAAATTGCATGATCGCTAGAGGTACTACTGGTGACAAGCGGGAGGTCGATCCCAAGAGAAGAACGAAGGTCCTCTTGAAAGGTCGCGGCAAATTCTTTCAATGTCGGTGGAATCAATGTTTGGCCTTGAGTATCCACAGTACTGGCATGGCGAGTATCCACGACAATCTTGGTGAGTTGTGACAGTGCATAGGTGCCATTATTATCAGCAAAGGGAATAGTGGGGACCGTCACCAGACGGGCGAACCCTGTAATTGTAAGAAATTACATGAGCTATAATATGTCAAGGTGCATACCGCAGATGGTGAAGTCGAGAATAAAACCGACTGTGCCAAGTGTCCTCCACCGCATGGTGATACCTCAATATGTCTTGTCGTTTTGGAATGGGCGTGCGCCGCTGAATAAATAGCACCCTGGCAGACCCGCATGTAACCTACAGACACTAGAGAAGGCCTGCAGCACGATAGCAAGGTTGCAGCTCGGCTAGCAGGGTTATATTGACCGTTTCATGCGACTTGGAAACGATACCTAGAAGACATCCTTGATTGGTTATGATTGCCAAGTTGAGGGCTAAGTCGGAACCCCGCACGGAGTTGATATGCGCTTCACTCTGATAACCTATGAGGGGTCGGGTTATCATCGGATTGCCCCGACACTTGGATGCAGATCATATACTAGAGCATACTAGTAGTGTCACCTTCCCCTCATCATGTAACGTACCGTTGTGCAGAAGATACTGATAGATCGGAGATTCTTCAATGGGAGGATGTAACATATAGGCCATGGAAGGTCTGTGTTGAAGGAAACGATAAGCTAAAGCAGCACTAGATATGATGTAGTTGCTGATCAGGGTATACGTCAATCTACAAGGCGCATGATTCGATATTGCGAGTAGCCTTATCTACGTAGATGTACTGATATGTACTGATACCCGATGAAAATAAGAGGTAGAGCATAGGAGACCCACATTCAAGTTAATCATTATATCGGGAACAGCTAAAAGGTCCACAGTTTATATAATATGACACTATAATCCCAGAACACAGGAATGTGTATATCAGTTCAGCAGCAAGCTTCATATAGTAGTATCAATATGGTAAATCCAACCACCACACACCCACTTCCCATCCCAGATACAGACAGTCTATCCATCGGATCTACACTGAATCTATATCCTAGCCGAACAAAGTGTTAAAATCCTCCTTTTCAACCTCCACCTCGGAGCAGTCCGCATCCCCATCACTTTCCTGCACCTTAACCTTTGCTGGAGGTGACAAACCATGTTTCGGACTCTTCGTAACCGGACTCTTCACTGCATGATGCTGATGCTGATTCTGCCCACTTTCCTTCATCACTACCTTCTTCTCTCCCTGTGACGCCTCTTTCTCCTCAACTCCGAGAGCCTCCATGGTAGCCTCTCCCTGTGACGCCTCTTTCGCCTCAACATTGAGAGTCTCCAAGGTAGCCTCTACTTGTTCCAGTCCTCGGGCCAGTTGATCACGCAGTTCCTTGAGATTGGTTACCTGCAGTCCCAGACACTTGGAAATATCGTCCATGTAATCCAACAGTAAACTAGTCTGGGAAGATAAGAAGTAGTCGACTTCCTGAGACAGTCTTTCCTGTATCCTCTTCAAGTCTCTATCATGGCAATTCAGATCCTCGGGGTTGAATGATCTTGATGGGGAAGACATGGTGGTGAGGTTGCTGCTAATGCTGGGGGATGAGTATTGAACACGATACGTGGTGAGTGATGAGTGGTGAGTAAGTGACCAAGTTACACAATATGATCTCTACAACAGAAGAATCAGAAGAAAATAACAATCATATTTATGTTCCTCAAAGACATTGACCTAATATCATCCTAAATCCATAAATACCCCTATCCCCGGAACATTCCAATGCCCCCAATTTACCAATATCATATCAAACCACCAACCCCCAAACCCGGAACTTCCCACCAACCTCCAAACCCAACAAAGACCATTGCAATACTACCTACCCACCTACTACTCATCATCCCCCTCCCCGCCATCCAACCCACAAGAAAGTAAACTCTCCGCCTCACTCCCCCCATCACTCTCCACCAAACTCTCGGGATACTCCACGCGACAACAAGCGCACGCGCACGCACACCCAGACCTACACTCGCACTCACTCCCATCCAGACTCGGATCGATTTCCACCTCCGTTTCGGAATTGCTCTCCTCCTCACTTTCCGTCTCGGACTCGGTACTTCCCTCGTGGTGCTCCTTCTTCCCGTTTTCCTTCTTCTGGATTCCGTTTCGTTTGTCCGGAATGTAAAGTGGCTCCAGTTCCTTTCCATACCCATATGCAAACCCCATTCCAGAACATTCGGCATCTGCCTCGACAGCGTCATCGATCACTTGATCCCATATGTCTCTGCACTTGTCCTTCAGGGTGCGGGAACAGCCCTGCTCGGTCATCTTTGACATGTAGATTTTGCGCACTTGGCCGAGAGAGGAGGCCGAGATGGGGGGTTTATGGTGGTGTTTGTTGGTCATGGTGGTGATTGTGGTAGTTTTGGTGGGGGTGCGATGGGAGGGATGAATGGAGGTGGTAGGGTCGGAGGGGTGGTGTTGATTTGCGGACCCCCCCTTTTTTTTTTTTGCCTTTTTGTGGGTTTAGTTCAATGTCGTTGAAGTAGATAGAAGGAGAAAAGAGTCTCTAGAAAGGATCAAGATGGTATGAGGGCCAACGTGGCACCCGTGGAGTACGAAAGACTGACGGAGAGAGATGGAAGAGACACGGAACGTCAAAAGGGCGTCAGCTTGAGTTTCTCTGGATTGGGATTGTGTTGCTACCTAGCAGGGTGATTGAGGTACCTGTGATGATTGCTCGGCGGTAGTGAATGGGCTAATATTAGTCGTTATAGCGGGTCATTTTACAAGAGAAAAGTGCACGCTCAGGGGAAAAGGAAGATAGAGCTGCGTGAACGGATGCATAGTATTAAAATCTGACATCCCGACCACATCTAAAAAGCGGAACGCACCACCTCTCCAAGAAATTAAATGGCTCTAGCATACATCTGTAAGCGATGAACTGGAATCGTGCCAGAATCCCATCGCTATAGGACAATGTATAAGGAATTGGGAACCTCCGACGTCTGGCTGTCTCGATCGATGGACGGCTGTTGGCGTGAGCTCGAGTTCAGTAGCGCATAGGGCTGAACCGTATCGGGATGGTAGACGTTGAGAATATCATCTATAACGGATGATACCCCGTCCTATATCGACGTCTCTGGAAAATAAGCATGAAATAGTCGGAATTATCTTCTGGCGTTAGGGCAGGGGCACGTGCGGTAGTATACGCGGGGGTCTTGGCGAACGATTTGTCGAACCGTTGACGAACAGGCGCATGGGCATTGGGAGGTCTCCGATTGCCGCGTCGGGTCGTATCCATCATGCCACTCAAGGCTTCAAAGGGCCACAGCAAACAAACGAACAAGCATTCTCAACAGCAAGCACCAGGTAAAATCATTACTTGCAATAAATGCAAGAACTTTTGGAACAGTATATACAGAACAACGAGCAAGTCAACAATCTCCCACACCAGGCAGAACCTCATGTGAAGAGAAACCTTCCTACATATGGGCCACTAAACAAATTTCTGGTTGCTGGGGCATCGATCCGGTCGGTCCATTGTCGCAAGGGAAATTCGGCACACGCACGGGCTTCGGTTTGTTGCTACAGGGCTTCGTCCAACGGAGGTCGCTAAGGGATGGTATCGAAATGGGGGATTAGTAGTCACGTGGCGCAGGGAAAATCCAATACTCGCTGGGATGGCCGGTTGTCGCAAGGGATCCAATGGGTGGGTGAAGGGCTTCGTATGGGGATGTTATGTCGCTGGGTATATAACAGGTGCTGGGTATAGATCGCTGCGGGGCTCGCTTGGGTCGGCATACGGGCTGTCGCTCAAGGGATCGTTTCGTACACGGGCTTGTTGCAGGGGTTCGCTCGGGTATCATGTCGCGGGGGTAGATATAACAATGTGGGTGTGTCGAAGAGCGCCTCGGGCAAACATAATGGCCGTCCATCAGTTCTCTCGTCCGTCCTTATCCGATTTGGTGTCGCCGGGTAGGTTGCTTTCGGAGGCTGAATCTGCTACAACTGCTTCGGTAATAGGGCCATGGTAGAAGCGCTTGCCGCTGATGAACCAGTAAACCAGCGCAAACAGCAAGACAAACACCAGGAACACACAGGCATAGTTCATCTGAGGTAGGGTGATTTGGTCAGCCCAAAGAGAGCACGGGTATGTAATCATTTCCACTTACGTTGTCAGGGGTCACGGGACGATCCGTGGGAAGAACGAAAATGATGCTGACAAAGAGCGTCCAGAGGCAGGCCCAGACATTTACGAAGTTGCTGAAGATGCCCATGTGCCAAGGTCCGGGTCTGAATTGGCCAAACAGCAGTTTGCACAGAACGGGGATGCAATAGCTCCAGTCAAGAGCGATGGAGCAAAGGGTGAAGACGGCATCAACTGCCGTGTAGGAGCCCAGAGCGATAAGATTGATCGCAATGCAGAAGAACACGGAGATCCAGACCGCATAGAGGGGAGTGCCAGTCATGGGAGATACCTTGACCCAGACGTTGGAAAAGGGAAGCATGCGGTCACGGGAAAAGGCAAAGACAGTTCGGCCAAGCGACTGCATGGCTGTGAAGGTCACAAACTTGATAATGAGCAGAGCAGAAACGGTGAAGAAGATGGCACCACCCTTGCCAAGGCTGTTATAGAAGATCTGTGCAACTGGCTGTTCCATCTTGGAGTTAAGGATAGCGTTCGGGTCACCCATGCAGAAGCACAAAACGATGTTGAACAGGAAGCCAGCCAGATAAGTGAACAGCATAGCCATTGAAATCGCCCAAGGCGCCTTGATCTCAGGGTTGCTGATCTCTTCGGTAATATGAGCTGTGGCATCATAGTCTGTCATGGTCCAGCTGACAGACAGGAAGCCAAACAGCCAACTGAAACCGATAGGCTGCCAACCAGTGGTCGATTCGACATGGGTGAAGACATACGAGGCATCGTGTTTGTCGTCCGTCATGACCAGAAGAGCAATAGCACAAGCCACGAGGATGCAGACGTGAAAAATGACATAGAACTTGGTCATCTTTTCCATCCAGTATGTAGACAGAGAGTTAACTAGACCGGTGATGAAAGTCAAACCAGCCATCACACCAACGGTGGTTGTGGTTTTGATCTCGTAATTGTCCATCCCCTTGCACATCGAGACAATGGCCAGGAGCATTTGCGCACCACCATACTCAGATGAAGCCACACCGCAGATCTGGCCAAGAAAGTTTAACCAACCGGTCACCCTAAACAGTATCAACATTTATCCTCTGGAGCAAAATCATCAGTGTTTCCATACCAACTGATCGATGGAACCCAATCATGTGGAGCAAGTCTCGAGATCGTAAAATACCTATCGCCTAGGGTCAGCAGCCGTCGTCCCGAGCGAACAGTGACACCTACAGGCCTCCAGATGTCGGGTAGGCGGATACAAGCTCAGCAACCGAAAGCTGCAGTATGTCTCATCAGCCTCAGCAGAGCGCATTGTAATATCGGACTACCTACCGCGATACACATGCACCCGGCTCCCGAAACAAACCAACACCATACCACCGCGCTGCTTCCTCCCGCCTCGAGAGGATAGGACATGGTGGTCATGATGGTTGCAAACAGACCACTGATACTGACTGCGAACGAAAAAGTGGAGAGATAACCGAACTCTCGCTTGAAGACGGGCTTGTAACCAAACTCTGCGGCGAGTTGAGTGTCGGCCTGATTCGTACCGGCGATGCGGACTTTCTCGAGTTCGGCGCCGTCAGTCTCCATGGCTGGATTCGCAGCTGCTTTGATGTCTGCCATGATTGCTTGTCGATTATGCAGCGTGGTTGAGGCAGAATAGAAAGGACAGGCAGAGTTGGGAAGCGTTAACTGGCAGAAAACAAAGAGAACGAAAAAAAGTTTTAAGAGAAACCGAAAAGATTTTAAAGGTGCATGCAAGGCGTCAGCAACAATAAATTCGGTCTAAGATATATCCGGTTTAGTCCCATATCGGCAAGAGCAAGTTGCGCGTCGGTGGGACGAGTTATAACGAAGCTCAATGGTCAAGCGACGCAGCGACCTGGTAAGCTTCGCCGGCGGGTCGTATAGAAGGCCGCTACGGCGTACTGGCGTCCCGGAGTTGCCCCTCTATCTCCCTATTCCACGGAGACGAGGCACAGGAACATGGGCAAGTGGACTCGAGTGGATCACCATGACATCCCGTCTGCGATTCCTGGCTGTTTCGCGGGACAGCTTTCCTACACCCAGTTTAGCGGGTGCACCGGACCTTGAATCCAACGCCTCCCCAATGGCCAACCGTCCCCCGCCGGCGCTCATTTCCCAGAGGCTCTCCTCGTCTATCGGTGCCCCTGATTGGTGTTATCCGTTAGCCACGACGCCACGTGGGACCCCCGATACCGCTGATGTCATCGCACGGGCCTGGGGTCCTCTGGTGACTCGGCTAACATGCCTAGTGTGGTGATAATAGAAACCATTGGAAAGGCAGAGCAAATTGCATGTGCGAGGTGACTGAGTCGTATGAATCGTGGTTGCGAATTTACGTGATTCTCTCAGGTAACCTGGCTGAGAATAGGGGAGAGACGGAGGCAGTCTAGCGCAGCGAAGTCATTAATCGGGCCGAATGTCTTGGTGGGACACTGTTGGATTACCTAACTGGCTTATCTTGCAGCTGGGAAATGCCATTGGCGGACTCTCCGATAGGAGTGCGTCTTGGCTGCAGTGATGGAAAGGCTTGTCTTACTGGCCAGATAAGGTGTCGGGGCCGTATCTTTCCGATGCTGACAATGACTGACGGACACAGTAGGGATGAGCATTCCTCGAACCAGCTCTCCCCTGTCACGTGCAAGGGTACCGGATCAGGCAAGTTTTTCCAGGATGCCTGACCAGCCAGCCGTGGGTATAGTCCGGCCATATTATACCCTTACACTATCCCAACAACAGACTGGTCGATATTGTCTAAAGTTTCATCGACATAGTGTCTGGAAACTATCACTCTATTGGGAAGGATTAGCTATGGTCCATGATAGAACAGCAGTGCTTATCTGTAATTGCGCGGTCCGCGACCGTGCCTTCGACCCTCAGTCTATCAAGCCCCGACACTAGTCTGCAGGCCCATTGGTTGATACCAGCAATGAGCAGGTACTCGTATGATCAGCGGCCCGGCTAGATCGGTTTGCCTGCCCGTGTTCCGTCTGAAGCGCCTCAACATTTTGCGATGTACTCCACATGGGACGGTCCGTCGTCCCTGGCCAGGAGCGGGGACGGGGAAGCTTGCTGTATGGGACTTTGGTCGGAGATCTCGTAGATAACAAATATCGATTGAGAGATATCATTACAGATTAGAGATAGTATGGGAGGTGATTAGACGATGACAAATGTCTTGACAGACGATAGATTGGTAACGGTGGGTTGACGGGAAGATTAAGGATAGAGGAATGAAGTGAGGTGAAACTGGCAGGAACCCGGTCACCTGAGACGGTGTGACTTCTACAAACTCTCAAACCTCTACACGGTCCTCAAGCTCATTACTATACGCTGAAAGATCTTGTCCGACAGAAAGTTTTGCGAATATCATCGCCCAAGTTATGCTATCGTGGATGATTTGCGACCATATGAAAATGATATGTCTAGAGCAACCGCAGCCTCTTCGCAAGCAAGCAGCAAACCACGACGAATGCACACATGCACCCTATGATACCAAAGAACCATCCAAGATTCTCTACATTCTGTCCAGGCACCTCGACGTTCATACCAAACAACCCAGTGACCATATGCAAGGGCACAAAAATTGTCGCCAGGATGGTCACCTTACTCAAGACCGCATTGACATCGTAACTCAACCGGATATTGTTGACGCTGAGCTGCGCCAGGAAATTCGATTGCGACCGTCCCACAATCTCATCGAAATGTGACAAACTGGTCAACGTGGTCACGAGATGGTCTTGCACGTCGCCCAGGTACACCAAAAGATCGCCATCCGGGAACATTGGGTTTCTGTCCTTCGCCTGACAACGCTTGACGAAGCCATTTAAGACATCGTATTTACCGGTCAGGCAGCGGATGAGCTGAGTGATGCTTTTGCGGAGGCTATCGAGTTGAGGAATGAGCGCTTTGACGTCGTCGACGCGGGCGATGAACACTTGATCTTCGATCGCATCGGCTTCGCGCTCTGCTGCGCGCATGTACGGTTCGAAATCGTCGATGATCTCGTCACTATTGTTTGGTTTATCAGTAGTCGGGAGGATTGGAACAAGAAATAGCGGGCGTACATAAGAGCGTAGCAGATCCAATCACTCGATACGAGATGCGTGTCCTGTGTCCGACGGATTCGGTCCCGGACTCGGGCGATGTGGTGACAACCACTGGGAGAAAAGGTCACGGTGGCATTCTTGAATACCAGAATGTAGAACCCAGAGGAGCCGGGGATAGACGATGATGGCTTGAGGCTTCGAGAACTCTTGAGGTCGTCTGTTGGAAGCAAGGTTTGAAAGGATATCAAATAGTAGTTCCGAAATGCTTCAATCTTCTCGCGAGGTTCCCTGGTCGCAATGTCCTCTGCTGTCAGAGGGTGGATGGACAATGCCTGGCAGACAGTGCTGACCTCTTCCTCGGTGGCGTCGCAGATGTCAACCCACCATGTGTCCCGCTCCAAACCTTTGGTATCAGCAGACAAGGTGGACTGCTCGATGAGCAGGCCCTCCCAAGTGGACGAGGTGACGACCTGCTGGGACCGACAGGAAAAGTGGGAAAACCGGTGGAGTCCCTTCGCGTCCATTCTGTGAGTCCAGACTGAGCAGCCACCTCAGAGAGGGAGAAAGAGCGATACAAACAAGATTTGATACACCAACGGATGTAACCACAAGAAAAACGCGAAAGCCAGAAACGGGCAGAAAAGGCGTACACTCAGCCCATTCTATGATATAGACGCTTGTTGACTGATCGAACAAGCAAAACGTCAAAGATCGACACGATTCTCATCCGTGAGCGCCTGGGCCGGAATATGTAGAAAGCGAGTGATTTATTTTGCAAGAGAAAGCAGCAAGAAACAGGACATCCACGTTGCGCAAAGCCAGGGGTCAACTGATATTTCACAGAATCCAGCAGCAGCCTTGTAGGGCTGAGGGAGCGGGCCCCTTTCCCTCCCGAGAAGCCAATAGTGGAGCCCCCACGCAAGTTTTCCGGCTGCCCTGCCCAGTCAATTTTCGCATCTGGCGCAACTTGACCCAGCCAGCCCTCCTGGTTGGCCAGCTCTTGAGGACCCCGTGGACAGCTTACGGAAAGTCGGAAGGCAGGATTTGGTAGGATCATCGGGTTCAGGCAGCATTTTTCACCACTGGCCTTCCTGAATTGGATTAGACAATTCTATCTAAAGATCCAGCGTCTTTGGCGCGGTGCAACGTTTACCCACGCTGTTGTGGCTCGGACGAGACCCGTTGGAAATGACGATAGCAGGCTGCCACCTTGGCAATGGCGCAAGCAAATGAGATATAACCTTGACATAAGAGCCTTGGCTTGTTTTTCCCACCTTCCAGGATCATGCCTTGATTGTTTTGTTCATCATTGAACTTTGAAAGCCCTCTCCCTCAATACCACAAAGGCCCTTTGTTCGTTGAAAGAAAGAACGCCCACGACTAACGAGATGTCCTCCACCTCCACTCTCATGTAAGTTGCAGCAAGATTGCTAACTAACTTTGCTAGCGAGCTGACCTGATTCCCTACAGATCCGCAGTAGGGGTCGTGTGGAGATATGCCTGGTTTCTGGCGTTTCGTCCATTGGCCATCCTTGTGCTGACGGGTGCAACCATATCCCTTATTCGATCTGGTGTCTCACTTTGCAAGGATATCCCCTCTATGGCCTATGAGATGTAGGTATTTGCTTGACTTGAGATTGCGTTTTTGGCTAACCTTGATGCCCCAGATTCATGTGGTTCACCTCCTAATGGGATGGGAAGGGGGATGTGTTATTACCTGTATTACGTACTGAAGCAAAGGTATCTTGGCGTTGATGATTTGTCACGGTTGCATTGTGTGTCTTATGAAGCGATACTTGCATTGCATATGTACATTGTATTGTTTTTCCTGCCAGCATCTGCTGTTCAAACTATGTGTCATATTCATTGGAGTTCAGTGTGTGCAAAATAATTCAAGCTGCTATGTGTCCAAAACAAAAGACCTGTCATGTTGGGACTTGGAAATTTCATTGTTAAAAGGTATTAAAACCCGACATTCTTTGATTATCAAGCAATTTCAAAATAGAAGTCCTGTAGACCGATTTATTGATTGTATCACGACTGACAACAATGATTTGCATCGTGTGTGCCGGTTGAGGAGAACAGGGCAGGGAGAAGGCGACCGGAATTGACCGGTAATTGGAGGGGTCACATGACGCAAGTGTATTTCCAAAAATGGGTATTCCGACAAGGTTATCGAAGAAGGTACTGGATTGTTCACTTTTCTTGAAAGCATGGAAGATTAAGGAACCGCGTGAACAAGTCTCTAGCACATAGCACGGTTCACCGGGATTGGATTCAGCAGTCCGCCTGGGGATGACATACCAACTATCAGTGACTATAGCATAAACAGTCCATATATCTAACCTCATCACATTATTATGCGGATTAATAATCGCTGCCATACAAACCGGTCGCTGGCAGCCAAAACTGGACTTGAGAGAAGCATCCAAAACCAGCCAATCAGATGCGATGACTTTCGAAGCAAAGCGGCCACAATTCCGACCAATCATCAATCCCCGGCATTGAATCCGTTATAAGTCCCAGTCACCTGCCTGAGGCATCAATACACCCCGCCATCCAATCCAAGCTAATATCACCGATACCGCACCACCATCAATCCAACAATAACAACAACAACACCACCACCACAATGGATAGCCTCAACTTCCCCATCGAAGACCGCACCTTCTTGGAACCCCATCTCCCACCCAAAGATGGCAACCCATCATCGTCATCGCTCCCCTTCACCACCCTCACCTTCGCCACATCCCTCGACTCACAATTAGCTCTGGCCCCGGGCACGCGGACCGTGCTGTCCGGCCCGCAATCCAAAGCTATGACGCACTATCTACGCTCGCGCCATGACGCTATTCTTATCGGCGTAGGCACCGCCGTGGCTGATAACCCCGGCCTGAACTGTCGATTGGCAGGGGTAGGCGGATACGGCTCCGAAGGTTTGGCGGGCCAACCCCGACCAATCATCATCGACCCCTCAGCCAGATGGGAGTTTACGGCGCAGTCAAAGATCTTTGAGCTAGCGAGGAATGGGCGCGGCAGGGCTCCGTTTATCGTTACGGCTGCGGAGACGGCGCCTTCTGCGGCTCAGAAGGAGGTCCTGGAGAGTCATGGGGGCAAGTATATTGCGTTGCCGATGGGGGTGGGTTCGGATGGTGCGCATCGGATTGATTGGACTGCTTTGTTGGAGTGTCTTGTACAGGAGGGACTAAAG